CAATCAATCAGCGACTACCGATTACTAGAATCCCGGGAGCCACCGAATAATCCAATACGTAAGACGTAACCAACGAATTCAGAATAGATCTGCGGTTCCGATCTAAAACCGTTAGATACGAAACCGATAGATACGGCAAGATATCGGGCGCAATCCAACTAAAGATGTGCTGATAAAAGATGCAAGAATGAGCGAGATGCGTTTCGCCTCCCCGGTAGTCACAGCCCGCGATCACTCGTCCATTGTAACGTTAAGCCTTTAAGAGCCTCACTTCGAGCTGGCTGCATATTGAGATACAGCTGCGAGCTCTGTATCAAGTTCAAACAGGCTCAAGACTGATAAATGCCGGACCTGGGACTCGAACCCGGGAGCTCTTCCCTGACGCATGCGTGCAGTCTGAAGGTTCGAAGCGCAATGCCAATGCTACAGGGGTTCTCAATGCACACATTCGCTCACTCGGTTATCTTATATGCGCTCCACCCATGCAGCATCATGCGGGCACTCGAGAGGAGTCTTGCTGAGTCGGGAGTTATGCGACATTACTTTATGGCTCGTCAGTTCACAGAATCCGGATACTTTGGGAGCGCTTTCGAGGATGGGAATCTTTGAACCGGTCGAATTGCGGATTTTTCTGGCGAGTTTACTTCGTTTGTCATCGGGTCGTAGTGGAGCATTACGAGGCGGCATGCTCCCATTATGGTGCCGTGCGATGATTATTTAGAACATTTTTGAAGCCGAATTATTGCCCTACTATTATGATTCTACCGGTCCAGCCTCCGTCTATCGGTGATGCAAGTCTGTTCAAGTTCGAAACCTTGATAGATTCGCCCGCGGCCATCAAGCTCAGGACGATGACTAGCCTTCGTAGTGAGCTCAACTCACACCTTGTGAATAGACACCCACCAAGCGATGTACAGAAGTAGACTCCCTTCACTGACCATTCGCGACCATTACTGTGTATTTCCTTCAGTGCTTGTGTGGATTATATCAACGATCTATTAGCCTTAGCTGAGGTGTCCAAGACTGTCCCTTTCAAGAGGAAGTACACTATACGATGGCGATCTGGCCTCACGCCTGAGTGGTGTAGAGCGAGCGAGAAAGACGTCCACTCAAGCATCGCATCGATGTCACGATGTAGCTCACATGATGACAGCTACACGCATGTTGTGTCCATCACCAGACGCTGTTCGTGTATGCGTGCTCTCTGCTCGAACAAGCTGCTCAACGATTCGTAGTGACTCGAGGAGCGGTGAGATTCTCACGACGGGTCTCGATGAGGTATGTGTAAACTGAATGTCAGTCGATCATGTATGAATCCTTACAGGTTGCTAAGATATGCAGCAAGGCCTCGACGGCATTCCAGACATGTCGGGACACCCTCACTACGATGACCGCTGCTATCCCCGAGCTGGACCCTAGAGTAGGTCTTCTGCATATGGGATCGGGGGTGGTATACGCATTCTAAGGTGCTTGGAGGTCTCTGCAGCTACAGTCATCTATGTGGTCAAATCTGCGCTTTTGAGTTGGCTGCGAGCCGTTCGGGATCGAGGAATCTTCTCGCGAAGTTGGCCATGCAGGTTGACGCAGATGCTATACCAGTACAAAAAATGCTCAGGGGTGGGCATTCGGAGTCACCAAGGAGTCGGCGATAGCAGCTGATCAGGTTCTGATGGACTTGGTCATTTGATCAACCATGTGATGGTGGTTGGTCCTATGTATCGGGCTAGGGCTAACACTCTTATGGCCTCAGCCGAGTTCGAGATGGAACATTTTGGTGTTGCCAATGCCTGGGCTGACCGAGCAATGGCTGCAGTGAGGGAAACGGAGGCTGCCTTACACCAGGTAGTAACTTTTGTTTATGCAGGTTAGATAGCACTGGTAGTAGGTAACGGCGCCGCATATGCGGCTCACTGTTGAGACTATCATCAATAAAGTGAAGGTGGAATGCGAGAAGATTATAAAGGAGAACAGGATGGTCTATTTCGAGCCTCCCCCTAAGGAGATGCCGTCTATAGTTCCTGTGAGCGCGATCAAGCGTACTCCACCAGGCGTACCAGTACGGGAGCTTCTGCAGCTGTACAAGACTCCAGTCCCCTTTGCTCCTGAGGAGTTCATACTGAATCGGAGTAACGTGTCGGTGTCCTCTTCTGGGGGCTCGGTATCGGATAAGTCGACTCAACACCTGAACACGTCCGAGACATTGCCTCAAGTGCAGATTTTTCCCAATGCGAGCTCAGCAGCCATGTATGCTGCGAATGGTAACTCTCAGAGTGGCCAGTTTAGTGGTGTGCAGACGACCCCCACCCGTTGAATTAGTCGATACCATTATCCTTGTTTTAGAGTAACGGAATTAGCACATAATGCGGACAGCAACAACAACTGCTGCATCATCATCGTTATTGAAGCCCTGTTATACTTATCGTACCAGTTTCATGCTTTTAATTTTGTTCGTATTCTAACCTGATCTCCATCGTTACTGTCGTTTCGCAGCTTCCTCCTTTATGCCCAGCCTCACCACCCGCTAACGTCACTTCAAGCTGGGCAGAAGTATCGAATTGCGAGTCCACGGTCTCTGAGGATTGGAAAATGCCTGGGAAAGATGATACGACCGACTGTTTTTTGAAAATGACAAGCAATTTTTGCAGCTGTTGTTGTGTTGATAGTTATGCAACTTTGGTTAACTCAAATACATTCAAGAATCAGAGAAAATACGAACGACATGTCTATAAAATAATGTAATATTCGTCAACCCAGCAGTGATGTACCATCACATCTTAGAGGTCTTGAAGAAGAGTTCGACAACCTCAGCTGCAGACAGCGATGTGTTGTCGGCGAGGGACGGATCAAATTTGGGCAGGACCTATGGCAACGATCGGAAGTTAGTCGTAATGATGTGATCACATCTGGAGTGAACTTCATAGCAGCTGCCAAGTCGCCTTTAAGTTTCAACTTCCCCTGCATGAATGCAGCCTGAGGCTGTAGCTCATCTTTCACGAGCGCCATGAAATTGTCATCAATAAGCGAGATAGTGCAGGCTCCATCGGCCTCCTGATAACACAAAAGCGGTCGGGAGTAGTGCCCAAGCTGGACAAGAGCTTACCTTAGTTTCGTAACACTTGCCAGGAGCGTCTTTCAAATTCAGAGTCCATTTCCTAGACTTACCCACTCCCACCTTCTTGCCTTCATAAATCTCAAAAGTATAAGTAGTGTTCAGCTTCTTCACCAAGGGACTGCCGGGCTTGCTGGGATGCTCAAAGTAACTAGAAGGATATTCCAACCATTGCCGAGGTCATCTAATTTCCTCACGCTCTGATAATATCAAATATTCTGGCAGATTTCAAAGTCGAACTCGATGCCTGGGGTTGCACAGCGCTTGGTGGGGCCACGGCGTCGCCTCTTGTCTGCAGCAGTGGATGGTCATTATTATGACGTGTCACCAGACTTTACCTGCATTAGGCTCATTAGAGCTTCTCCAGAGCTGCTGGGGTAGGCGGCATTCTGAGAAAAGTCGGCGATGGTGTTTTGAATTTTTTCATCGAGAAGATCTTCCGGTTGATACGGCCACTTCAATGTTAGACCGCGGCTCCTGAAAGCCGATCGAACAGCATTTTCTCCACGAGAACGAACCTTTGGATCCTGACTTTGGAAAACCAACCGGCACCAGCTTCGAAGACTTCCCCACTGCCCTGATAGTGTGAGAGTTTCACGATCGCATTCTCCCCGCGCCTACCTTATAGCTCTCATGACACATCGCTACGACCAGAGGCGATACGAATTCAGGGGAAAGCTGAGCTAATAAATCTGGTGGCATTATTGTTTCGGTCATTCTCGAAGCCGCCACCGGCACTATAACGTTGCACAAAATACCTACGACGGCCCTGCAGAGCCAACCCTATGGAGAGAAGTTACCGCGTTTCTTTCCTTCAATGGCCATCGACTTCGTCATCCCTAGTATGCCAGATTTAGCCATGCTGTAGTTGACTTGGCCGTAGTTTCCATAAAGACCAGAAGCGCCTAAAAATCCATCCGAAAAAAGCAGGTCACGTAGAGCCCCACTCGAGACGTTGACGATTCTCCCATAGCCTTGCTTGAGCATGTGGGTCCATGCAGCTCTACTGCACTTATAGACACCATTCAAATGCACATCCACGACGAGCTTCCAGTCATCATCGGTCATCTTCGCCAGAGACCGGTCACGCAAAATGCCTATCACGAGGTCACCTTGGTGACTGTTACTTTTTACTACCAGCATTGTTAATAAGAATGTCAATACGTCCCCATTTGTCCACGGCAGACTTAATGATCGCTTCTCCATCAGTCTGAATGAGACGCCTCCAGAACACACTGGAATTGTAGTAGTACCACAGAGTTGTAATTAGGGATTGCCTCGCCACCAGCCGCGGTAATCTCCTCCACTACTTTATCAGCAGCTCTACTGGAGTGACCAGAACCATCGAAGGTTCCACCAAGGTCGTTAACGAC